GGGAAACAGACACACTCTCAGAAAAAAAGGTACGAAAGCTGTCACTGGGGCGGTACCTTTTCAAAAGGTACACTTTTGTACCTAAAGGGTGCACATTGGTACCTTCATGGGACACTTTTGTACCTAAAGGGTGCACATTGGTACCTTCATGGTACAATATGCACCCTTTTGGTACAAAAGTGTACCTTTTTGAAACTGCCCCAGTGACAGCTTTCGTACCTTTTTTTCTGACAGTGCAGGAACAACGAAGGATACTGGAACGCAGAGGGATCTGACACCGGACATCACAAACAACGATCTGACAATGGAGATGAGAAATGGGTGAGATTAAGTAGAATGGAATGATAGGCTGCAGCTGGTGATGAGTGATCTATCTATCTATCTATCTATCTATCTATCTATCTATCTATCTATCTATCTATCTATCATTCTGTCAGTCTTTCATTCATTCTATCAATAATTTTGTCTATATTTAATTCACTTGCACTATATGTTAATCCATCCATCCATCCATCATTATTCTATGTATTCTATTTTTAGTTGTATCATTGTCTCTTCTTTTCTTGAATCATCGTTAACATTTGCAATTGCATTTTTTAAACAATTTGTAAAAACAGTACCACACAATGGATTACCTGCAAAAGCATGTAAATTGCTCCAATTCCTTAGTTCATCTCACAAAAGTTAAATATCAATATTTATGCTAATGCCGTCCGAAAGTCCTTTGTGTCATTGTTCACAAACAAGATGCTTAATATAGCAGTGAACTTTGTCGGTATTTCCTGATGTAAACTATAGCAATGGTTTTAATAACAATGATTGAAAATGCACACTTTATCTGTATGGCATGTATACATTTTCCGGTCCGGGCCACAAATTATCATCCACATCGCATAACTTAATAGCTTAATAATAACTTAATAACTTATAAAAATCTAACGCTTCACACATTCCCCTTCAATGGTGAAAGTCAAGATTCCCCTAAGAGCAATTCATCAATTCAGGACACATTTACAAAAAAAAATAAAATAAAAAATCAAACAGAAATGTATTGAAAATATGCTTAACAGTTATTATGACAACCTTTTGTATTTAATGCCTGCTACAGACGGTGTGATTTCGGCAATCCTATAAGATCATTACAAATAACACTGTACGATATGGATCTAATAAACTTGGGTATGACATGTAGACTGTACAATGATGACACCGACTGAATACGACGCAAGTTAGTACAGAAGATTAAAACATCATCAGACTTTTTTAAAAAAAGAGGTGGGTTTGTTGGGTGTCAACCTTTGCTAATGTTATGGGACAATGACTTGATTTTAGTGTTTACGTAGATTTATGTAGTTTTGGAAAGTAATTTTTGATGTATGACATGTAGACTGTACAATGATGACACCGACTGAATACGACGCAAGTTAGTACAGAAGACTAAACATCATCAGTATGCGCAGTTGTTAAACAAACAGAGTAAGATGAATCGCACTTTGGCAGGGAAAGTTTTTATTTGCGCTGAAAGAAAAAGAAGAGTAGGCTAAGCGGAAGTGGAGAATATGGATGTGGTCATGGCTAAGGAAAAGTTTAAGGAAAAGTGCCAATTTTGTAAATGGAGCTTGAGGTGAGTAGTTTAAGTTTTAGCACCACGTTGATCAATACGCCATTTCATGCTGCAGTTTCGTTGGCTAGTCAGCAGATGTTGGTCGTAGCAATAAACACACAAAATTATCGCAGGCGATCTATGGTTGCAAGACCGCGACAACGACTGTCTTTGAACCGCTCTTACTGTGTGACGTAGGACCACTGTTTCAGAGCCACGACCACGTAAATCTTTCGTCTGGGACAACCCAAAATTGTACAATGCGTACCAGGCATAATGCCACATGTGTCAAATTTAGTTCCTAGAGGACCACTGTCCTCCAATGTTTAGCCTCAACCCTGATCAAACTAACATATCTGTAGCTTTCTAGTAATCCTGTAGTGCTTGACTAGCTGGTTCCAGGGGCGAAAATTTCATCAAAATGTTGGGGGGGACAATAAACATAACAATTCTCAAGAGCAAATTTTGAAGGGGACACCAATAATACAGGCAAAAACATACAGAGGAAAGCCTTACTAGTGTAGCATGGAGACCATTTCATTATAATTCTTAAAGTTTCTTTCTGGTTTAAGCAGCGGCGAATCTGTTACATACTCTCCTCACGCAGCGCAGCGATTTCATTTCATTCATTGACTCATTATTTAACTATAATTAAATGATATAACCAACTAAATCACAGTGAAAGCGTTACAATATAAATGCACAGCGCACCCGGATTTCTCATCAGTGAGTCTATGGCCAGCAATATTGTAATGTTTAATGACATGAAAGATAATGTCTGTTCTAAGTTATTATTGTACTGTACAATTAAATATAATCGTTGCTGAGTTTGCATTCTGAAAACTTTACCTCAGAGCATCCGTTTACTGAATGAATTGAGAATCTCACCTGAAAAATCCAATAACACCAGCAATTGCATTCAAGCAGCTGATTTCTGTAAATAAATGCAAAACTAAATGCATATTGCAGCATAGGCGAAGTCAGGATCCGTCAGCACAATTTGAGACAAAAATAATTTAAATGTATATAAAACTATGTAAATGGCGCTCTGTGGCGCAGCAGGGTTTTGAACACGGTCCTGACTGAGCCGTTGCTGGCGCCGCGGACAGACGCGAACGGCGCCGCCGGTGTGTGTACACTCATAGAGAAAATGTGTTCGAATTTTAAAGACGTGGCGCTGCGCGACGCGACGCTTCTCGTCCGGTGTGCGACCCCTTTACTGGTGTTCCACAACTACTCAAAAACTATGTTTTTCTCTCCGGCCACCGGAAGGGGACGGAGGCGTCTGAGGTAAAAGGGACGGAGGCAGTGGACCAATGCACAGAACGCTTTTTTCGATATTGCCCCGTTTGCATTTGTGTTATTTTATTTCTTAATTATTTTAAGAATATATCATTACATTATTTACAATACACATATTTTAATGTTTTTTTTTTTGCGGGGGACAACCCTCAGATAGGGGGGGTCCTGACCCCCCCGACCCCCCCGCGATTTCCGCCTATGGCTGGTTCAGGTGAGTTTGATTTGGGTTTGAGCTAAACTCCGCAGGAAAGTGGATCTTCGGGGGCCAGATAACCCCTGATCCAAAACCAAAAGAATATTTGAACTTATTTTGATCAACATGATATAATTGCAAGGCATTGGCCATTTCAATCTGTATGGTGTCTGTGTGATCAGAGTCTCCTGAGGAGGGTGTTTCAATGAGTGCTGCAGAACAGAAAGCAAAGAAGTTCTTCAAGACCTGCATGGATGCAGAATCTCCAGAGATAGTGGGTTCAGAACCCTTCCTCACACTACTCCAGCAGGTACACACCCTTTGTAGGATAAGAGAAAGTAAAAAAGAAAAAAGTACACTTATGTTGCATCATGTATTTTTGTATTTTATTCTCTCTCTCCGCAACTCTCTCTCTCTGTCTGTGTGTGTGTGTGTGTGTGTGTAGTTAGGTGGTTGGGCAGTATCAGGTGAATGGAATCAGAAAGATTTTAACACCACCCTCACCCTGCTGATGAGCCAGTACTCCACGTTTCCTTTCTTCAGTGTGTATGTAGGGCCAGACTCTGGTGAAGGGGAAATTGCTTCCAATCAACACTACATACAGGTGATCACTAATACTAATTAATTAAATATTTATTTTTATTAGGTAGGACCTATTTCTCAATGTCTGTGTCACTTTTTCAAAACTCCTTTTTTATTGAATTAACTTAATTAGCTTTTTGGGCTAAACTGTGGATCATTGTCCATTCCTTTGGAACAAAATGATTTGACTGAATAGGCTACATCTTTCAAATGACATGAATTGTTTTCAGAATAGTCTGACTCGATTTGTGAAATTATACATAAGTTACATAAGCTACATAAGACACAAAACAAAAACAGCAGACAGACGGAATGAAAATGCGAATTCACTCTCTGGCAGTAGGTGGCGCTTATAGAACAGCAGCAATATAGCGTTTTCTTCGTTACCACTGTACACAAACCAGTACTGCGCTTATAAACTGCCATTACACAGAGGTGAGAGCATAGGGTAAGAGGAAAGAAAATGCCTTTGTTCTCTCTGGGCCCGTCTTCAGCGTGTTCCGTCTATGGCCTTTGTTAATGTCCTGTTTATAGACTTCGTAATATTTCCAAACCCATATTTCCATCACCTTATTTCCATTACCTTTTGGATTTGTGTTCAAGTCCACAATATAGATCGGCCAAAATAAAACCAAAACCCGGTTGCCGATTGTGTGTTTAGAGCAAAAAACGTCCGGTGCATCTCTATAATGCTCTTTTCAAAACTGTTAAAGGGGTCATGAACTACATTTTTTTATTATAATGTTTCTTGAGGTGAATGTTATAATGTTAGTAATTTTTACATCAAACAATTGTCATAATTTAGAAATAAATGGT